GAACTTTATTGAAATTTCTTCTTGAAATTTGATCAGAAGAAGATAAAAAATTGTAATAATTTTTACTTTTTATTAATTTAAATCTACAATATTTAAAAGAATTTAAATTTTGTCAAATTATTAATTTTACAAAGAGTGATAGCTTTTATCTATGTGAAATAAAATTATTTGGTGATTCTAATCTTTAACAAAGATCTTATTTTACATGCATCGAATATAGAATAAATCCAAATTATAAATCAGCTACATAAGTCTCGTAATCTGTACCAACTATCAAGAATAAAAATAGATTCGTGCAGATTTCTCACTTTCGTCGTCAGTTATTTTCTCTCTCAATCTCACCAGCGTTCTCATTGTCGCGGGCATGAACGAGAAATTCAGTGGAAAATCTCTCGAGCGGTCAGACATGATTTCTCGCCATCGACACATAGAAACTTAGCATTATTAGATTCCGTATTGTTAGACTGTGCATTCAACACTACGAGGTAACTACGAAGCTATCCTCGCATATTTGACGCATTGTGACGTGATATCATGTAATCATAATTTTATTGCAAGACATCCTATTGCTACTCCACTACGTTATGAGAAAATTGAGAGAAATTTCATTTTTTTTTACGTCGAACTAATAAAAAGAATAATTTAAAACTACTCGTACACGTATTATATGTATAAAAATGATTAGCAAATATAAGCATTAACCGAGCAATTATTAAATCCTGAACAGCTTGTTCTATCACATTTTTCTCAAGATGAAGTTGTTTTTTTTCGTCGATAAACGGTTCTTGTCGTATCGTATGAACACTTCGTTTCGCTGCGGACATTTCTTCAGCGCGCATTACGAATTGTTGCATTATTAAAGCGGCCTGCTTTTCCGTGGCTTTCCCACAGCGATTTCCTGCCGTTTAACTTCTTGATTGTGGCTTTGCATCTCCACGTGTCCTGCCTGACGACGACGTCGCGCACGCGTCGCAAAAAGCATCGATACTCCTCTCGAGAACGGTCCCTGTCGATCGTGCAAATAAATCCGCGACGGCACATGATGTGCGCTCGCTTACGGGCTGATGCATTATTTCATGGAACTGCGGCAGACCTGTGTGTCTGAACTCGCCGTGACGGTGAGACAAGAGAGAAAGAGAGAAACGGACGGGGCGCACGAGCGAACGGGCGCGTGTGGGAAACTCCGTCGGATGCATTATGTATTTATCGCTTTACTTACTTAGTTGGGAATTACTTTGCCATTCGTAATGACTTTTAACGTATAGCGCGCGCTATCTTAGGAATGCCATATCCCTGATTTATCGCCTGGACCTCGTTTTTCTCGGGTCATTTTGTCGCTAACGTGCTACCTCCTTCGGCGAGCGTTCGCGACCGTCATCGACAACGAGCCTGACTCGCGTCACGAGTCCATTGACCTTCCTGAACCCCGAATTGTAGTCAGAGTGTAAACTGAGAGACAACGTTCCTTCAAAAGAATTGTTGCCGATATGAAGAAAAGGATTAGCCTTACGTTCTAAAATCTTATTACTCTCAATACTCTCAATACACGCCTATTTCTTAATAACGCGCAGAATGTTGCTTTAAATACGCTAAATTTGCAAATAAGGATTCGTAGAGATATTAAGATTATTATTTAAGAGATACATATCTCTGATACACATCTAATTAAACGAAACGATACTTTGCAGTATAAAACATTGTTAGAACAATCCAGTCTATATTAGATTTACAAATTAAATATTGCTATTATTTCAACGCTTAGATATTTTCAAATATATAAATCAAATCATTTGTTAGAATTCAATTTCTCATTCGTGACGGATGCACTTGTATAACAGTATATTCGCGCTCGCATAAGTTGCCGTGCGGATAATATTGGGAAATTGAATACGCGGCACGTATCTAGCATTAATGAACTAATTATAGCGAGGATATCCAGGCGGTGTCTGAGAGCGGTGCCTTCAGCCGATATCGTCGAGGCCAAAGAAATCGTATTTATTTTTTCATGCAATCATTTCGCTAATTGCCTCTCGCGTTATGCCAGCGTGCATGAGAAGATGCAATAAATATTCGTGATTAATTAAGAATTCGAGATATGCGGGCGTTCCATAAGAGAGACGAAGAAAGAAAAAAAGAGAATGCGTTTATGGGTTCTCCTAATTGGACGCATCGTACTGCCGTTTTGCGTCTCGGACAATCTTTCTTGACGTTTAAGGAATTTCGTTACTGTACGCACATCTGGATATCGCATGTTTGAAAAAGATGCAATACATAACAAATACTATCGTTTTTTGTTTAAGAACGATTATAATTTTTATTCATCATATTTTTTTTGAATCATTGTAATATATAGATATTCTAACATTCAAGGTTGAGTTTATATAATTTGCAACTCGAAAATAAAATTGTTTTGTTTTGTATTTTTTAATATAAAATATGCATAATCTTGTTTAATTGGCTATCATCTGATATCAAATGATAACCAATTAAAAAATAATGTAATTACATATATTACAAAATTAAAATGTATCACAATAAGAGAATTAAAAATTAATTATTAATTTTTTAAAGTGTTATGCTTATACATTCATAAAATCACAGGTGTGTTAATAAGAATAATTAATTGAAAACAAACATTTAATTTATATTTCAAAGTTCGTATTTCATCATTCAGTTCAATATAAACAAAGATAAAACAGATGAGATAGTTATTATTGACGAAGTATTAAGAATGTATATAATATATTAAACGTAATGAAAAATATATAATAATCGCAAGATAATTCGTTTTTTTATTAAAAATTATCTGATATTATTCTTTATATATTAGAATGATTAATGACAGCATATTAGAAAA